TAGTGGTGTGGGGTGGGGTAAGGAAGAATGAAGGAACTTTGGTTTGTGTAGAGGGGATTGAGGGGTGGGGCGGGACTGTGGAAATGGGAAGGACAGTAGAATGAGACAGACATTATTACCCTATATACATGTATGATTACACTACTGAGTGACTCTGCACCATGTATAGCTAGAGGAATGAGATGTTGGCTCCATTTGTGTACATGTGCACAATATGTCAAAATGCATTCTACTGTCATGTATAACTAGTTAGAACAACAACAACAACAACAAAAAAAAAACATAGCACAGCACACAACAACAAAACAAAGTTGTAAGCATCATAGTACCTGATTTTAAAACATGTGACAACGATACAGTAATCAAAATAGAATGGCACTGGCACGAAAATGACATACTAACCAAAGGAACAGAATTGAGAGAACAGAAATAAATCTGTGCAGTTATATGGCCACTTGATCTTCAACAATAGTGCCAAGACCACACAATGGGTGAAAGTGGGGGAAAGATGTCTCTTCAAAGAAGAGTTTTTGGAAAATTGTATATCCATATGAAGAACTAAACTGAACCTTTATCTCACACCATACACAAAATCAACCTGAAGTGGATGGAACACTTATGCATATCTGGAACATGACTAGATGAAAACCACTGGGCAAAAACTGCTCGACATTGGTGTGGTTGATGATTTTCACAAGCACAAGGACAAAAAAGCAAAAATAGGCAAGAGGGATTCCATTAGACTAAAAAGCTTCTACACAGCAAAGTGAATCATGAACAGTGAAGAGACAAAACATATTGAGAGAAAATATGAGAAACAATACATGTGAAGGTATAAGTATCAAAAATACATAAGGATGGCTGGAGTTGTGGCTCAGTGGTAGAGTGCTTGCCTAGCATGTGTGAGGCACTAGATTGGATTCTCAGAACTGAATATAAACAAATTAATAAGATAAAGGTTCATCAATATCTAAAATTTTTTTAAAAAAATACATAAGGAATTCAACTGAAGAAAAAAAAACCCGACTAATTAATTGACAAAGTCTAGAACAAAAACATAGCACAGCAAAACATACCACAGAGGGTACAGCATGTACTTGTTTAGCATGTAAAAGATTCTGGGTTCAGCCACATGCAGTGGTGCACACCTGTAATCCCAGCAGCTTGGGAAGCTGAGACAGGAGGATATCAAGTTCAAAGTTAGCCTCAGCAAAAAGCAAGGCACTAAGTAAGTCAGTGAGACCCTGTCTCTAATAAAATACAAAATGGGGCTGGGGATGTGGCTCAGTGGTTGAGTGCCCCTAAGTTCAATCCCCAGGACAAAAAAAAAAAAAAAAAAGCCTGGGTTCAATCTCTAGCACCACAATAAATAAATAAATGAATAAAATAAAAATAAATGGGCAAAAAACCTGAATAGACATTAATCAAAAGATCTAACAAATGACCAACAGGTATATGAATGGTTGACATCAGAAATCACCAGGGAAAAGCAAATTAAAGCTGTGAGGAATCACTTCATACCTGTTAAAATAAATTTCCCCAAAAAGACAAAATATAAGCCAGGCATGGTGGGGAGGCTGAGGCAGGAGGATCCAAAAAACTGCAATTTAATGAGGCCCTAAACAACTTCACAAGACCCTGTCTTAAAATAGATAGATAGATAGATAGATAGATAGATAGATAGATAGAGCGAGCTGGGGATATGGTTCAATGGTTAAGTGCATCTGCGTTCAATACTTGGTACCAAAAGAAAAGGACAAAAAAAGTAATAAGTACTGATGGTAAGGATATGGAGAAAAGAGTGCAAGAGTGAGAATGTAAATCGGCACATTACAGAAGACAGTATGGTGTGAGGTTCTTTAAAAAAATGTGAAAAAGAAATACCACGTGATACAGAAATCCCAATTCTGGGTAACCAACCATGTGATACAGAAATCCCAATTCTTAGTATACATCCAAGGAAATGAAATCCATATGTTGAGGATATATGTGCACTCCCATGTATACAGACCATACACACATGCATACATGAAAGAGAAAAAAATCTTGTAATTTGGAAAAACATGGACGAATTTGGAGGACATTATACTAAGCAAAATATGTCAGGCATAGAATGACAAACACTGCATGATCTCACATGCTGAATTCTTAGAAACAGAGTGGTAGTTGCCAAGGGCTGGTGGGCTGGTGGTGGTGGTGGGAACAGATGTTGCTTTAAGGGTATAAAGTTAACTAGTTAAGACAGAATGAATATATTCTGGAGTTATGTATTATGACAATATTTAATGTATTGTTTTTTTGAAAACTACTAAGACAGTAGATTTTAAATGTTTTTACCACATACACGCAGACAACAAAGGATAACTATGTGAGGTGATGAATGTGTTTATTATCTTGATTGTGATATGCATCTCATATATATCAAAACATCACATTGTGCTGGGCGCCTTGGCACACACCTGTAATCCCAGCAGCCCAGGAGGCTGAGGCAGAAGGATTTTGAGTTCAAAGCCAGCCTTAGTAACTTAGTGAAGCCATAAGCAACTCAGCAAGACTCTGTCTCTAATAAAATACAAAAAGGGGCTAGGGATGTGGTTCATTGGTTAAGTACCCCTGGGTTCAATCCCCAGTATCAAAAACAAACAAACAACAAAAATTTTCTTAAAACCCAAACATCCAAAACATCCATTGTATATCATAAATACATACGATTTTGTCAATTAAACCTACAGGAAGCTGGAAAAATGTATTTGCAAAATAAAGTACAGACGCTCTTTGACTTACAATGGGGTGACATCCCAACAGATGAAAATATCCTAAATTAAAAGTGCATTTTATTACCCTTAAATCATGACCATTATAGCTTAACCTAGCCAACCTTAAACATGCTAACAACATTTAATTAGCCCACAGGTGGGCATCGTGAGATCGGATAATATCTCATATTGCTAGCTGAAAGATAGATCAAAATTCAAAAATTGAAGTTAGGTTTCTACTGAATGTGTATCACTTTTGCACTATTGTAAAGTTGAAAAATTTTAAGTCTAGGATCCCTGTTTTTATGTTACTGTGTGATGGATGGCAAAACCAGGTCTGGATGTAAAATAAACTATAAGAACACTGTTTTGAGAATTAGTGCCTAGGAAAGGGAGAGTTTCCCTCCCCTTTCTGGTCAGCTCTTCTTCAGAAAACCTAATTAACACAATAGACCTCTACCTCTTGGATTGTGAATAACTACCCTTAGGAATCTAACTACTTCCCTTTGAAGTGTAAATGTCCTTGTTGAGGATACAGATTTATCTAAGGCCTTGTGAGAGAAGCCAGTTCTTACTGCCCTCTGCTTCTGTAAACATGCTTCCTGCTAGAAACCCTGTGCATGACCATATATTGTGCATACTAGAAATTTTATGGCAGTGGATAGCCTCTAAATAGACTTGTGAGAACTAAAGATGGGGGCTCAGAATTTGTAGTGTGATCTCTGGTTCTCTCCAAGTGCCGCTTCTTGTCTGATTCCTGCAACAACTAAATGATAATGAAAATGAAACTTTCAGTGCCTTAGTGGAGATGTCATGTCACTTGACAAACAAAACTTGTGTTTAATAAATGTGAAAATCTCCCAATTAATGCAGAAATATGAATGGTTTTGTTTAAAAAAAAAAGTCTTTTTTTGGAGCTGGGTTTTGAACCTGGGGCCTTGTGCATGCTATACAATCACTCTACCACTGAGCTAAACCGCAAGTCCAAAAAGAGTTCCTTGAGGTTCTCTTGGCCCACTCCTTTTCAGTATATTCAAAGATTGATGGTACCATTTTAAATTAGGAATATGGTCAAAGTTGCTTTACTGCTCATTCTTTTGGTTTCCTTATCTATAACTGAGGATACTAAGAAATAAAAGTACACTTTCACAGTAATTGGGAATGAGTTAAATGTGAAGTGCTAAGAAAAGAGCATGGAATACAACCAAGTGCTTATTTTTTAGCACTGGCTATTGTTATTAACACCTTTTCTAAGGCATGGTTTCACTATCACTTGAGGCTTGTGACTTCCATGTCCACCACAGCTATTTGTCCTGCCATTTCTTCTACCTCCTAAGTCATGTCCACTTAGATATATGCATGCCACCTCAAGTGAAGTAAATCAACTCCATACCAAACTAGTCTTTTTAAATGTTATTTCTGTTAATGTTTTTATTGTGATTTCAGTTACACTGTTAATCTTGGAATCATCTTTTCCTTTTACATGAGACAAAATGCCGTTTTTCATTATTTAGAAAGGCCATGCTTATTCACTGTAGAAGATTTGGATAACATGGAAAGACCAAATAGGCAAAAATTGTTCCTAACCAGAACATCCTAAATTTCTATTTAAAATATCAACATGTTTGATGTTTTCCCACAGAATCATACTTTTTTCTTTTAAATTGTGTTTTTTTTGTTTTTGTTTTTAGTTGTAGATGCACACATACCTTTATTCATTGATATGCGGTGCTGAGGGTCAAACCCCATCACACACCTGTGCGAGCCAAACGCTCAGGCACAGCCCCTGTCTGAAACGTCCTCACCACTGGAAGCATTCCACAGATCTTGTCTGAAGCTGAGACTGTAAAGTGCAAATTCCTAAAGTAAGCCTTCCTGAAGATCCGGAAAATACCAGTGGCTCAAAAGTCTCAAAGCTCATACCGGTAGCATTGTTGTGCGTTAGAATGTAGGAGGAGGAGGGCAGCCCCGCACCCTACCCGCCTCTCACAAGGTCACGGTGGGAACCCACAGCACGCGTGCCCACCTTCTGACCACTCACTTCGGAGTCCCGTTTAGAGGTAGGAACTGAAAGGCGCGCTCCACACGCGCACGTCGGACGCACCCTACTGGACCAACCGCTTCCACAAAGGTCGTTCCCACTTTCACGCCCGACCCCTACGGCCTGTTTTTATGGATACGGTATCGCCCGGCATCCAGAACCGATCAGCAGAATTTTACAGAACTCAGAAGAGAGACAGGTACCTCGGGCGCCGAGCCTCTCTTCCCGCCTCACCGGGCGCCCTCTACCTAGCCACCCGTCACCCCCCGCCCTCAGCGTTGGAGGAATGGCGCGCCGAGTCGCAGGCGGGCGGGCGGGCCGGCCGTGCGCACCGGGGACGCCGCCGTCGACGGCGCGGCGCACACTAGTGGCGCCAGACGCACGCACGCCGGCCTGCCCCCCCGCCGGCCACGACGCTGCGTCACGGGTTTTCAGGCGCTGAGCTCCTGGAGACAGCCTGCCGCGGGGCCTCGGGTCGGCCTTCCCGCGCTCCGGGAGCCCGCTCGGCGGCGCGATGAGGCGCAGCAAGGCCGACGTGGAGCGGTATATCGCCTCCGTGCAGGGTTCCGCCCCGTCGCCGCGAGAGGTGAGTGGGTCCGGAAAGACCGGCGGCCTTTTCTGGTCCCGGCCGCGGCGCCGGCGTCATGGCTCCCGGCGGCCGCCGCTGCCTGGCGCTTTTCGAACGTGGGGCGCCGGCCGGCTGGCGCGCTCCTGGGGGCGGCGTGGCGCGCTCGAGCGCAGGGTGGAGGCGTGAGAGTACCGTCGAGGGCGGGGGCTCCGGGCGCCGGTGTTTGCTCTTCCTCCGGGCCCTCCTGTCCACCGTCCTCCCTCGCGGGCCCGCCGGGGCCAGCTCTCCCCTGGCCTTCGGCGTGCTGGGCCCTCGCGGCCTCGTCCCCGTGTTGGGGCGTCCGCCGGCCCCCAGTTGGCGCTCCCAGTGCCGCATCCAGCCGGGTCCTTTCCGTCTGCACAAGACCCTGCGGCGGAGAGTGAGACCCGGTCAGAACTGACGCAGCTCCACGGTGGGCTTTCAGCGCCAGAGCGGGTGACATCGTGGGCGTCTGGCGGACCGGAGCAGTCCCGCCGCGCGAACGACCCGGGAAGGCCCCCGGTTTCGAGGCTTGTATTGCTGTGCCTTTGTAAACGACTTTTTCCTCTCCCCCGTACCTCTCTGGGAACTGCTTTACCTCCCCCTCCCCGCCCTTAATTTTAAAGGGAAATCTCTGGAACTTTGAATTTCTTACAGATCACTGCTCAATGGTTTTTTAAGCTTTTTCATACACTTGCTCTTATGGCATTTTTCCTTTTTTTTTTAAGGTCAGTAACGTGTTAGATGTATTTTGGGTTTAACTAAACTAGTAATTGGATGTGGAGAATAAAGAAAAAGCCATCAAAGGTGGATGTGCACAGGATCTTGAGTCACTTTGGGGTTCAGTTGTCACACCTTTACCATTTATATTGGAATTTGAGACATGTTGAACTTTTCATCAATAAAATTGACTGGTGACATTGATTGAATTAGGATGATCTGTGTTAAACATTTAGGGCAGTGCTTGAGTATAGTACTAAATAAACGTTAGCTTCAGTTATTTTTAGTACGGCTAAAGGGACATTAACTCAAGGTCTGTTTTGGGCAAGAACCTATGAGAGTATATCTATAAATAATATTTTTTTTAAAGAAACTTATGGATGATCATGATTATAACAGTAACATAATTGTGTGTGTGTGTGTGGGGGGGGGTTTTCACCATAATTACGCTGAGCTTGTTTTTCACAACCAACAAGCCATTGGGTTTTGAGACTTGCAGAGGTTAAGATACCAGGTAGGGGGCTCAGCAGGATTAAACTTTGTTTATATTAAACTAAACTTTATTGGGAGGGTTTCTGTAACTCCTGAAATTGAAGCAATTTTAGAGCTTCCTTGGAATTCTTAATAGATTAAGAATCACTGGACTAAACAGAAGTTAGAATGGTTTTTGAACTACGTAGCTTTTCCATCAAATAAAGTGGGGTGGGGGCAAAATATTTAGAATTGATTATTATGGCCACCCCTTTTTTACACTTAAAAGAGTATTATTTTGGTCATGTGTGTTTCCTTAAACAAGATGAAATCGTTAATCTTAGAATCTGAGGGTTTCAATGGAATATGGATTAGCTAAGTGAGTAACTTTGAAACATGTGAAGCTCTTCTCTAAAGTTAGTTCTGAGTGAAATGACAAATTAGTGTGCTTCAGATAGCTTGGAAGGGTGATTGTGGCCAGGGCAATGGCTGTAAAGAATAGAAAGGATTAATGTCTTCTTCCAATTTGGCAGAGTCTGGCCATCTTTGAACTGGCCATGCTTTCTAGGATGTCCAAATTCTGGAGTGTGTTGATGTGTCTGTAATCTCATATCTTCCCAGTCTTTGTACTTTAATTTGTTCATCCTGCTAATTTACTTTCCTTCCTTTCTTCCCTCTCCTCCTCTTTTCTTTCCTTCTTCCTTCCCTCCCATTGAACCTAGTGACACTTTACTACTGAGCTGTGTCCCCAACCCTTTTTACATTTTATTATGATTCTGGGTCTTGCTAAGTTGCAGAGGCTTCCCTCAGTTTTGTGGACCTCCAGCTTTGCTGGATTCCAAGGTATGTGCCACCATGCTGGGCTCATTTTGTCATTTTCTTCTCTTTTGCTTTGTGCTTGTTGAAAATGTCATTCTTTCTATAGTTTTTCTGTTTCCAAATTGCTTCTGTTTAGTTTTGTTAGATTCAGTGTAGTTGGCTTCCCATTCTACTGATTCAGAAGCTACTGGATAGTTCTTAGTTATTTTTCTACCATTTACATCTGTACTTTGGGGGGGCAGGCAGCGGGGTACCTGGGATTGAACTCAGGGGCACTTGACCACTGAGTCACATCCCCAGCCCTATTTTGTATTTTATTTAGAGATAGGGTCTCACTGAGTTGCTTTTGCTCAGGCTGGTTTTGAACTTGTGATCCTCCTGTCTGAGTCTCACCACTAGGATTACAGGCATGCACCACCTCACTCGGTCATACTTTTGAGTAACATACATGTATACTTTTATGTCTTGATCCTCTCTCCCTTATTTACTGGCATTCTGTTGTACATCTCCAGTACAGGCATTTGATCACCCCTCATTTTGCCTGTATTGTTATTGCAGCTTTTGGCTAAATGAATATTTAGCATTTATGTGATGATAAGTTGAATATTTTTGTATTTGAGTTATTTTTGTTATATAGTTTTATTTTTCCTGGAGTTAATTTTTTTCATTTGTGTATGATGTATTGTATAGATTCTTTATTCCAACTCAGCAATTTAAACTCTTTTAAGTGTGATCAAACAGGTCACCTATCCCACAATTTCATTTTAAAAAGATTAAAAAAACCATTCATTTATTTTATTTATTTGTTTTTATGTGGTGCTGAGGATTGAACCCAGGGCCTCACTTGTGAGAGATGAGCTGAGCCACAACCCCAGCCCCTCCTGTTTTTTTAAAAAATCTTTTTCTTTGAGGGATTTTTCTCCATGTTGCCTGGGCTGGCTGGCCTTGAACTCTTGGGCATAATCTATCCCTCTTGTTTTAGCCTTCTGGGTAGCTGGGATTATAGCCACTGTACTAACCTTTTTTTTATTTGAGTACTGGGAATTGAACCCAGAGGCACTTTACCACTGAGCTACTTTTTTTATATTTATTTTTTTAGTTATAGGTGGACACAATATCTTTATTTTATATTTATGTGGTGCTGAGGATTGAACCCAGTTCCTCACTCTTGTTATGTGAGCGCACTACCTCTGAGCCACAACTCAATTCCCAGTACTCAATTGAGCCACAATCCTAGCCCCACCACTGAGTTACTTTTTTTTTTTTAAGAGAGAGTGAGAGAGGAGAGAGAGAGAGAATTTTTTTAATATTTATTTTTTAGTTTTTAGCGGACACAACATCTTTGTTGGTATGTGGTGCTGAGGATTGAACCTGGGCCACACGCATGCCAGGCGAGCGTGCTACCGCTTGAGCCACATCCCCAGCCCCACTGAGCTACTTTTTATTTTTGATTTTGAGACAGGGTCTCACTGAGTTGCTTAGGGCCTGTCAAATTGCTGAGGCTGGCCTGGAATTTGAATCCACCTGCTTTAGCCTCCCAAGTTGCTGGGATTGCAGGCCTGTGCCACCCGACTTTTTTTTTTTTTCTAGTTTAAAGAGACCTCTAGTCTTAATTGCTCCTCCTCGTCTGATTTGCCTTTCTGCTTCCTACAGAGCTGTGCTCCTGGGACTTTCCATTGCTATCACCTTGGGAATTCCCTTCACTTCTTTTTTTGTGTTAGACCTTCTGTTTCTTGTATTCCAGGTCCAATTGAAAATACTTTATTTGTTTTGGTACAACATAGTCACATTTTTTTTTACATTGTATATCTGAAAAACCCAATTTGATTTAATAATTTGGTTATCAAAATCTTGGTTCAGAATAATTTTTTTCTTAGTTGAGAGCATTGTTCCATTTTGTAATAGCTCTAGTTTGGTGGAATTCTAGTTCTTGAGAATTTACAGATTGTCCTTATTTTCTCCAGTTCTGGAACATTTGTTACATTATTTCTTTTATCATTTTTTTCTCTCTTACCTCTCTGATGTTTTTATTATATTAACAGAGAGGTGAACCTTTGAAACTGAGTACAAAATTATTTGTTGCAACTATTTGGAGGGGGTGCTGTAAGAGAGGGGAAGTAAGTTGTGCAGAATGGAGATAATATTCTTCTAAAGATCATTTTTTGGGGGAGGCGTACCAGGTGTGCTTAACCCTAAGCTACATTCCAAGCCCTTTTGTGCTTAACCCTAAGCCTCCCCCAAAAATGGTGAGTTGCTTAGCGCCTTGTTTTTGCTGAGGCTGACTTTGAACTCACCATGCTCCTGTCTCAGCCTTCCCAGCTGCTGGGATTATAAGCCTGCATCCCTATGCCCAGCTAAGGAATCTCTTAGATTACTTGTGCAGGTTGAGCATCCCTAATTTAAAAATCCAAACTCTGGAATGCTGGCATTTTGCCACAAGTGAATAATTATACACACCCAATTTGTAGGACTTCTAGTCCTAAGCATTTCAGATAAGGGATATTAAACCAATAATACCTAATATAGTGTAAATGCAGTATAAGTAGTATTTATGCTGTGTTATTTCAGGAATAATGACAGACAAAAAAAGTCTGTACGTGTTTAGTACAGATGCCTTTTGGGGGAATATTTTTCCCCCATTCAGATTGGTTGAATCTGAATGTGGGAATGGAGGGGACAACTATATGCTAAAATTTGCCATTTTAACCAATTTTAATTGTTCAGTTTGGTGGCATTACTTAACATTCACAATGTTGTTAAATTATAGCTATTATTTCCAAAATTTTTTATCATTCTAAACAGAAATGTGAAATCATTAAGGAGTGATGTCACAGTTCCACCTTCCTGCTCCCTAACCCCCCTAATTATCTGTCTTCTACTTTGGAGTTTTATGGATTTTTGCCTATTATAGGTATTTCATGTAAAAGATCATACCATATTTGTTTTTTGTCTCTGGCTCATTTCTCAGCATATTTTCAGGTTTTATCTGT